TTTATTCTTATCTTGATTGAAAATACAATAGAAAGAGTCCATACAAATATTTATTAATAGGAAACAATGAATCTAAATGCAAACAAATGTTTACATTCTCGGTTTCTTCTTTTTTCCTTTGATACGCTTTTCAATTGCTAAAAGCCAAGTACTGACATTAACGATGTATCGAGCAGTGCCTGCTGAATCCCAATTACAATACAGTTTCGTAAATCCACAATCCAATGCTAATCGACCTTCAGTTAAGTTTGGAGGTGGATCATAAACGCCAACAGTCGGTTGGCCATCAGTAGCTGTTGCCACATTGACAAATTTTTTTCGACTTTCAGCTGTCGAATAAACTGGATGGCAAATCGTAATACCTTCGAATAGTTTTTGAATACCAGTGAAAATCTGATGTTGACCATAATGACCGGGTTTATCATGACCATTTTCCATATATGTGAGTGTTTTGGAACCGTGATAATTTCCATCAAGTGTAATACCGAATTTTGCTTTCAAAAATTCAGATGCATGATACACAAATGGTACGTTATCAGCAAACAAGAAAACGGCACCACCAGACGAATGATATTTTGTTAGAGCCGATATAAATGCACTATTTTGTATGGAACTCGTACTGATGATCCATGCTATTTGATGACGATTGGATTGAAATTCACTTATACATTCATTTTCAGATTTCACATGTTTCACTTGAAAACCTTTGACTTTCAATGCATCGATTGGTACTTTAATAGCTGTGTCATTAAATTGACCATCCTGATAGAATTGTGCAATTAAAATACTAAAATCTTTAAAAGCTCCATCTTTGCCCAAATCATAAGTTGTTCCCTTTGGATTGCCATATTGGTCGTATTCTGATGCATTACTAATGGAACTCTTACCAGCATCTGCATTGTAGAAATCCAAGATTGAGTCTTCATCAGATTCTTCTTCTGAATCAGCTACCCAATCATAGGATGATTTGTCCAGAGTTTCTTTGTGTCTTGTATTTGAACGAGTATTGCCAAAATTTATAGTTCGACTACTACTTTG